CCTACGCATTTCCTCTCGTAAGCGGTGGAGGTCCTCAAATAACGAATAGATGGCAAAATCGAGCTCCCATTTGTCCACTGTGCCAAGCTCGTAGAGACACCTCTTGGGGGTTGAATCGTGTGACGGTTGAGATGGCGTTAATGCGTCATCATCGTAGTCGTCTTCCGGAACATCCTCGACCTCAAGTGCTGCAAACATGTTCCTGGTAAAGTTTTAACAAGGCTCATTCATTCTGGTTGGAAAAAAAAAAAGGGGGGGTAAAACATACGCCATGAACTTCATGTCCTTCTCTTCCCTGGTTTCGCTGGAATCAGGTCTCTGTACCGGTTCTTTGGTGGTAACAGTCCCAGGTTGGTCCTGCATGGTACCTTTGAGCAGATCCGAAGCAGCTTTAAGAATGTCGATGAAATGACGGTGGCTCTCTCGGGATTCCTGCGAACTCGACATGGTCTTTTCAAACCAAGCAGCACATCTTTCACGAGCGCTGATGGCACGTTGAAGAGCTATGCGGATACTATCCGGCATTGACTGCTTCCGTCTGGCCGAATGCGCAACCATTTCAGCTTGGACAAGTATGTCTTGAGTGGTGAGAGTGTACTTCAGCGTCGACTGCGTCGAGTCTGTCAATGGCGGGCTAATCTGCATCGCTGGCGCGGCTTTGGCCGACTCCTTTGCCTCCTTTCGCGCCTTTCCCTTCAATCTGGGCCCCTTTGGTTTAAGGCTCACAGCATTTACGATCGGCATTGAGAGGATCTCGGTGGGCTTTTGGGTTGGTTTCCAACCGCAAGCCTTTGCAGCGCGGGAAAGCCACGCCGTGAAGGTGTTGGTATCCTCCTTGTAGCGGCGGTAAGTGCTGCCTCCAACGTCTTGGGACATATTGAGAGTTGGTTTGGGGAACTGGGAGTGAAATCAAGAGATTATTGGGATGTGTCACTGCAGCTGTTTGTTCCTGTGATGGGCATCCCCCAGAAGGATGTAAAATGGACTCGTCCTGGGTGCATCATGATTTGGGCGGCTGCGCAGGCAAACAAAGAGACTGCCCGTGTCAAAGGCGTACGGAGTATGCCGGCCACCAAGACCGGTGAAGAACCTCCTCGCCTGCCTGCAACATGCCGAGAGCTCTTATTGAGGGACGAAACATCGAGGATTGGCCTTGCTTGGCCTAAATGGGATATCAGGATCGTAGATCTTCGTCTTCTCATGCTCCTCTTGATAGCATCATTGCAGTTGCAAACTTGACCGCAGTGCTGGTTGATGACATGGAGCCTGTAAAAGTAACAGAGACTTCTTTGTTGCCAGCATGCTCACTGAGCAACTGACCACGGCAGACCCTGGTTTGTAGGCCGTCTTGAGGCCTGCCTCTCTGCTGCTGAGTTATGCAGCCCTGTCACCGCTAATCGCAGTTGCTGTCAGAGAATGTTGTCCTGCAGTCACGTGCCTGGTGAACAGCCTTCAGTCTTGCTCTGTTTCCTTAACAGAAAAAAAGCATAAAAGCATTACAGATTTCAAGTTTACGAATGGATAATGATATATTCTCTTGCTGTTGGTAGGGACACAGGGATTTGAGTTAGAAGGAGGGAGGTTGTTACCCATAGAGCAAGCGGAGAAAAAATACATATAATGTTTGACTTCCCATTTACTTTGGGCGGTACTGCTTTTATACCAACAATTGTTTTTCTTTTTAATAAAAAAAAGAATATAAAAAAAAAGGTCTTCAACTTAGTTGACTGTCTGTATACTTATCTATTTGTACTACTCAGACGATAGGCAGCAGAGATGTGACCTGCCTGATCAGGCACACGTGTATACAAACCTCGACATAAAATCGATAATTGATCACATGACAATCTCAATGATTATCTCAATGATTGGCTGAAAGGCTCAATTCGCCTCGACTTAGTCCGGAGACAATATTAATATTAATTACCCAGCCCAGCACCTGCGCTGACCTGCCTAGGTACAGTACATACATCTATAGACTTCTCGGGAGTATATTCACCGTCCGCTGGTTGGCGATATTGAAACAGGAAATTATTCAAAACCGAGGATTAGTCTTTGCATTTCTCTTCCTCTGGTCTCTACTTCTAGACAGTTCTGTCCGTCTCTTGAAGAAGCACAACCGACTGCGGTGGCAAGAGTGCTGCATAATTGCAGCTGGATTATTAATATGCAAGCCGTTATCTCCGAGTTGTGCGCGCATAGTGTCGTGTGCCTGGCCCAATCCGGCTAGTCTCGGCACTCGGAACTGGCGCGTTCCGGCGGACTGTGCCGTGTCGAGGCCGTGATTGGTCAATGGATGCCGCTCGCCTGCTCCATCGCGTGCCTGCCGACTGCTGATTATCTCCCCGTGCAGCAAGCAATGCGCGGCAACCTGACTCAAGATGCCCTGGGCAAGGATCGTTGCTCCCCACAAACCAGTATTATTACTATGTCTTACGTACGTCTGTCAAGTTAATTGCTCCTCCATCGCTCTGCCGAAAAAGGGTCCCTTCAGCGGTGGGATCCCGCTTCCGGATCGGGTCATCAGATAAAATACCGCATCATCTCCTACACTCACCATCATCTTATCTGATGTTATCCTGATTATCTTGATTATCTCTCGCCCATCATCACCATGGCCATGCTCATGGACAGCATCAACGCAGCTTGTGGCCGACAGACAAATCCCTCCCTGCGACGGATCTCTCCGGATGGCCCCACGCGACCCCTTCCCCTACGCAGTTAGGACTCGTCTTGGCCGGAGGCCCTTCGTCGTCTGCCAAGATGCGCTATCGCGATGGTGAAGCCGTCGGATTCGTCAGGCATGCCGCAGATGTACAACAAGAATTGGACCTTGCTGAGCCTGGCCTTGCCCCCGATGCCCCCCGTCCTCCAATCCTCGAGTTAAAAAAAAATGAACGAACTGTCCGGAACGTTCTTGTTTCCAGGGTTGGTGGCAGGCACTTGTTGGACGGTTAGTCGGATGCATCGGATGGATTGATTGCAATCTTTATCTTCCCGTCTCGTGCGCTGTCTGCTTCCTCCTTTTCTTTCCTCTCTGTTTTCCCTCCTCAGCTCTGCTTATCACCCCTCCTTCCCTGCGTCATTCCCCCGGAGTCCACCGCGACGTCCACAGAGACTAATATTAATAGGGGAAACGAATCAAACGATGGACCTCCGCCTTGATTTCGTTTCCTTCTTTCCCTCCCCTTCACTTCGCCTCGACAGAGAATGCTTCTGCCCGCAGCGTTCCTCTAGTGAGCTATTAAGGATGACCAAACTCGGATGAAGGCGTGTCGATTATCCCGATTCGACATTCTTCCATCCTGGCCCTAACGAACTTTTACAATTCCATGCATGTGTTGGGCATGGACATGTTGGCTTACCAGGGGTTGGTTAATGTCTGCCTGACCGTGCGCCTCATTGGGCTGTGACGAGTTGATATCATCATTGCCACCACTGAGGCTGTCGGGCTGAATCCCTTGCTTGCTTGCTATAAATCGCTGCTGAAAAGGTTGCCATTCCCCTGCCCAAGTTATCTTGGTTACCGGCCATTGCAATCGGCATCCTCCTCAGAGGACCGACTTGCCTACGCGCACCACCATGGCGGTAACCATCAGCTGGTTTACTCGCAGGTCGCTCCTAGTCTCCAAGACAACCATCCTTGTGACGCTCGTGTCACTGCTGTTGTGGTTGCTCATCAACACGAACATCGAGTCCGCCTTAGACCTCCTCAACCTTCTGCCGCTACCATCGCCAACGCCGCCGTCGCACGCTCTTGCCTACACGGATGGAGGATATCTCTTGCAGCAGCACTCCTTCCAGTCCCCCGAAGCCGGTTCCAGCTCGTCCTCGTCGGCGTCATACAACTACACGCTCCCGTTCCACACCCGTGGCCGTTACATTCTCGATGCGCAGAACCAGCGCGTCAAACTCGCCTCCATCAATTGGTACGGCGGCAGCGATGAGGACTTCGTCCCCTCTGGTCTGGACGTGCAGCATCGCGACCGGATCGCTGCGCTCATCCGGGACCTTGGTTTCAACAGCGTGCGGTTGCCCTACTCGGACGAGATGGTGCGCGACAACCCTCTGATCCCCGCCAGTCGCTTGGCCGCCAATCGGGACCTTGTCGATCCGGAGACGGGCGGTGCCCCAGCGCGGGACGTGTTCACTGCCGTCGTCGAGAGTCTGACGGATGCGGGCCTGCTGGTTATCGTCAACAACCACATCACACAGGCGACGTGGTGCTGCGGCGCGAACCCGTGCGACGCGGGCTGGGCGAACGATTGGTTTGGCGGCAAGTGGTTCTGTCGTGTCAGCCAGACGAGCGAGGAATGGATCGAACACTGGGAGACGGTGATGCGGCCGCTGGCACACAACCCGCGCGTCATTGGGGTTGACCTGCGCAATGAGCCGCGGGGCCTTTGGGGCACGCTGCATTGGGACGACTGGGTTGCCGCTGCCGAGCGAGCCGCTGAGCGCCTGCTGGCTCTCAACCCTGCCTGGCTGATTATCGTCGAGGGCATCTCGTCGGCGAACGACCTGTCCGGGGTCCGGACCCGGCCCGTCCGGCTGCCGCCGCCATTTGCGGACGACCGCGTCGTCTATTCCGCCCACGTCTACAGCTGGTCTGGCTGGGGATCGCTTTATCCGTATTCGCGACGGACCTACGAGGACTTTGTGGCCAGCATGCGAGAGAACTGGGCGTACCTGTTGGAGGAGGACATGGCGCCGGTGTGGGTGGGAGAGCTGGGCACGCCGGACGAGCCCACGGCGGGGGATCGCAACTACTGGACGCACCTGGTCGAGTTCCTGCGCGTGACGGACGCCAGCTGGGGATACTGGGCATTGAACCCCCGCAAGCCGGCCGACAACGAGTGGGAGAGCTACGGGCTGGTGGGCGACAACTGGGACCGCGCCTCGGTGCGGTGGGATTACCGACTGGCGGACCTGCAGCGACTGGGCTTGCGGCCACGCATCGCACCCAGCCATTGAACGCTTCGTCAAGTGGACATCGAGTTGTCGCGACAAGTTTCACGTGCGACCATGACACATGGCGAGAATGGGCAATATCCACCAGATTCCACAGCAGGTGCCAGGTGGCTCGCATGGCTGAAACCTGAGCAGCACCG